TCTTGACCATGTCTACATGCCTAAATGCACTGAGTTGCCGCCATGTGATTGGCTTCTTAGAAATTACGGTAAGTGTTAAGGAGCAGTTGGACAGGTGTACCTAATAAAGTGGCTGGTGAGTGTAGCTCTCTGTTTTTATTTGGGATTCAGATTTTTGGTAGATGTATTCACAGATAATTTATGCTGTCAAGGCATATTTTAAAAGGGGAGTTCTGATTGCTCAGAGGAATCTTAAAACTTGGTTCATTAAGGTGGATAAACTCACAAAAGCCTCCACATCTACCATGCTTATTGCTGGTATGTCTTTTTCTATCATGTCACCAACATTTTCCATAAGGCCCTCTATTTCGGTATCACCACATCCTCAGCATTCAAACACAGCAAAGAAATTGCGCTGCTCCTACATGCAGCACTGCTGAATAGAAACTATTTACATGATAACTCAAGGTGTTTATGGAGTGTTTATATTTACAGACAGAACCATGTAAAATTCCTTCTGCATCCTTGTCACCAATGCACAGTGTAGATTACCTCAGATCGGACTCTGGATCGATTATTGTTTCTGCATTATTTCTGTTTTAAATACTAGGTTCCGCTTAAGAATAAACAGCAGTACAAATTTGTTTTAAGCAAAGATTATAGAGTAATCGGAGAAAAAAATTTTTTATCTAATAAACAAATAATCAACAATTAAGACATTAGACATAGACTAAGACTTCGGCAGATTTTATTTAGTAATTTTTGTACACACAAGTGTACACAAAAAGAAATGTCTTTTTTATTTATTTGTAAGTCAATTATTTTTTTTTAACATCAATACTGATAGTTTGATGGGTTTCTAGATGCTGTGTCATTGTCTTTCCATTTTCAGATGATGAATCTCTGTTGTTTTACAACTTAATCCAGTTTAAAACTTCCACTTTCACTGGATGTTATGAATGGGGGGCTTTATTTCACCTCCCAAAGGATTTAGAATAAAGATTAAGCCACACTTTGCTTGTGTGGGATTGTTATTCTTTTTTTCCAGCCAATGTATTGCAGGTGTCATTATGGAGTTTCTTAGCTGTGGGTAACATATATTTACTTTGTCTCTAACAGGATGAGAGAGTGCTGCAGCAGATTGAGAGAGAGGTGCGAATGCAGGAGGGGACCTGTAAACTGCTGGCTGCTTGTTCCCGGAAAGATCAGGCCCTGGAGGCCTCAAAGAGTCTGTTAACCTGCAACGCCCGCATTCTGGCTCTGCTCAGCCAGCTACAGAGGATAAGGAAAGCACAGATCTTAGAGGGAGTGGGATACAGGTCAGATGAAAAACTGAGATTGAATATGTGCATGATTTTATGGGCAGGTAATCGCTCAGGGAGATGCATGGAAATGAGGAGCTTAAATAGCGTGTTTTATGGTTGTTTTTAAACCAAAGACAAGGTCTGATTTTTGCAGAAAATGCATGGCCTATGCCAAACACAAGATGTCAAACAAGGTTATTTTGAGATGCGTGAGCTGTGTTTATATTAAACAATGAATGTATCCAGAATTTCCATTTATGAGCGATACCTTCAGGTGTGCAAGGCATGAATATAAAATGGATATTTGTGTTCTGCATGGAAATACATATATTTTATTTATAGCAGAAAAGGATTTCACTTTGAAACACATTTTCAATCTCTGCTTGTCTTTTTTACTCTTTGTACCATGTGTACGCCTCTTTTCTGTATTTTTTTCTAATGACTGATAAGTGATCCATTTGTCATCAGTATATCTGAAGATGCTGAATCGTGTACTGGGAAACTCTCACTCTCTGGTGAGTGTGACAAAATATCTGTACAAATAGACCTAGCAGAGAAAAACTTTTATAAAAGGTGCTCTTTTAATATGCGTACTGTAGATCTGCGAATCCCCCTCATGTGGAAAGACTCAGAGTACTTCAAAAACAAAGGAGGTAAGTGAAAGTTTGATCCACCTACATGTGTGGGGATATTAATTGGTACGGCTGGTGGAGGCCAAGAAAATACCCTATTACTGCAGCAAAAAGCAACTTTATGATGCAACCACTAGGGGTTGTCTTCCATTTATTATTCTCCTATAATAGTGACTGTAGCATACAGATGAAGGGATCTTTTATTCTTCCTTCTTGATTTTTTACCTCCATGTTTTCCATTTTCAGAGCTGCATCGCTGTGCTGTGTTCTGCCTGCTTCAGTGCGGCACAGAGATCTATGACACCGATCTGGTGATGGTAGACAGGACAATGACTGACATCTGTTTTGAAGACACAATTATATTGTGAGTCATTTCACTGCAGAAACTGAGTCTTTTACACATAAAAACAAGAAAAAAGGAATGAAAAGAGCTTTTAAAGTCATTCTTATCTGCAGCAACGAGGTGGGTCCTGGTTTCCAGCTTCGAGCTGAGCTGTACAGCAGCTGTGTGGTTGAGGATTTCCCTCGGGCGGCCCCAGCTCCCAGAAGAATGAGCTTCCTGGGAGGCTCCTTGGGATGCTCTTCTGGGAAGAAGATTCGAGCTGCATTTGAGTCTGCAGCTGCGTGCGGTAACGTCTCCTCTGGTGGAGGGAACATAAGGTCTGGACATGTCCCACCTTCTTCACTTCAGTCACTGTGAGCGTTTCCTTCTCCTTGAATCCTGGATTTGTTTCTTTAATCAAACTATTTTAAAAGCACAGATCAATTCAACATTTTTTTATGTACAGGGGGCCAAAGTATAACCTCTTGGCTCACACAACACTCACCATTGAACATGTCAGAGAGGGTTTCAAGACACACGATTTGATCCTTTCAGCAACGGGTGATTTTCCTTATTTCTTCTTTAGTTTTTCTTCCTCATATTTGAAGTTTTCAACCATGTGTGGCTTTGTTTTACTTTTGCTCTCCTCTTTTTTCAGAGGACAGTCCTTTCTGGTTGCCTCTATATGGAAACATGTGCTGTCGCCTAGTTGTTCAGCCTCTGTGTATGATTCAGACAGTGATAAGCGGCCAACTTGAAGTCAAGGTGACCTTACCTTTCGATATTTTACTGCCTGAGATTTTCAATATCACATCTCTGTTAGAATTTGATTAATTTACACATCACCAACTCTACTGTGTTTGTATAACTCTCACTCAGCTTGAGAAGGACAAAGACAGTTGGGAAAACTTCTACTGTGTTCTCAGTGGCCAAACTCTTCTCTGTTATCAAAGTCGAGAAGACCTGGAGTCAGAGGATGAACCCGTGCTTGTGATTCCGATCACAAAGGTGGGTTCTAAATTTGCAAATTTAGATAAGATGCTGTTGATTATAATTGCAAGCCAAAGCCACTAGGGTGCACTGGTGAGTGAGAAAACTCTGAACAAAACTAGATGGTTAACTTTTTTTTCATTTAAATCCTCTCCTGTTCATTGAGATATCACTAATCTCCTATTCAGTTGTAAATCATTATAAATACCTGATAGTAAAATAAAAAAAGCAACAAATGAGTTTACTTATTGATCAGATTATAAAATAATTTAACTTTAGATACAAACAAACAACTCAAAAGTGAGTTTTTATGTTAAAAAACAAACTTTTGCAGATCTACAATCGTTTTTTTTCTTTATAATACATTTTGTTCTTTATGAATGCACTGGTCTTATTAGTTTTCCAATAAAATAACTAAAACTAAAGCATATTTTGAATATGTAGCCTTTAATTTTATCCCCTGCATGAATTTTTAATCATTAACCCATGACTTTTTTCTGTGGTGTATAAGTAGAACTTGTTTAAAATTGTACTGCTTTCCTGGTTCCTCTTCAAAATGGAAAAAGAAAAAGAAAACAGACAACACCTCCCTAAGGTAAAAGCGTGGCAGAAGACAGAAGTGTTTATCTTTCCGAGCCAGAAAATAGCTTCTTGTCAAAACAGAACATAGTCATAGCTGTTGACAGAACAAGACTTGATGATGATACAGGTTTATTTTTCAAAGCAAAAGGAAGAGTAGGGAAGGTATAAAAAAATCCCCAAAGATTCCATAAAAGCCTTGCCTTAACACAACGTCACTGCAGGTAGCAATACGTTTTTACCACGCCACTGTCTGAAATATGCAACCTTTCACTTCGGGGCAAGGTTAAATACACACCTAGCATTCCACAAATAAGGTCTTTAGTCAAAACGCTTATATCCCCATATAAA